AGCGTTATTTATTTATAATATAGGATTATTTTTTCAGAGAAGAACTAAAACTTACTTACAATTGGATTTCCAGTGGTTTTCTTCTAAGAAAAATAATTTGGTATTTTCCTTTTTAACTTTTTTTAAAACTTAAAAAATGAAAAATTATTAAAATCCAATTAATTTACAAAGTTTTAGTTCTTCTCTGTAAATATTCATATATTATAAATAAATAACACTATATTAAATATTAGGTGCTTTTTTTTCTAATCCTCATTTTAGTCACACACATAAATACCATATATATATATATATATATATATATATATATAGCATAATGAGAAGCCACGTATACTTAATATGTATATATAGAAAAAGTTGCAAATTAAAAAAAATAATTTTTTTATGAAAGTGTGTGTATATATATATATATATATATATATATATATATATATATATATATATATATATATATATATATATATATATATAAAAGACATTTACCGGCCTGAATGTCTGAGAAATTTTCATAGAAAATATTCGTCCTTTGACAGGATTCGAACCTGCATCCTATACGAATATTTTCAATGAAAATTTCTCGGACATTCAGGCCGGTAAATGTTATTTAATACTGTTTATTATAAACAGAGCATTTACTTAAATACTTGTATCTATAAAAAAAGAACGTTAAACATAAAAATGTCTTTAATAAATAAATTGTCGGACTTTGTCCATTTCTTAATATATATATATATATATATATGCGAGAGAACTATTACATACACAGGTTTGACAGAAACCGACTTGAACATCGGGATCAACTGCGTGCAAAATATTAAAGAAAGTTGGCAGTATGTTGCTCCTCTCAATGATAGCCTTATCTGTAAGACTGGCTTTGTCGTACACAGTAAAGCAAGCCTTACTCTCCACTCAAGGAAACTTGTGCCATTTGACCCTCAACAACTCTAGCGAAATAAGTTTACCACATGTTCCATCTGTCTAAATGTCTACAAACACCTGCAGGACTCGACAGACACCAGCGTCTCCATACAAGTTATGCAGCTCTTTATTTTACTAACTACCCTATAAATATATAAGACGCCACATATATTTGTATATTTTTGTCTATTTTTTTTATCGTTTTAGAGTTCGCTCTTTGGCATGGCGACGCCAAATGGCAGTGTATTTGTGATATAATGGAATATGCGTACACCTGTGTTCCCCCCTCACTGGAATATGATTGTCTGGTGTCCGTCATAAATACCGACGGACGTGTAGATACGACAGGGTCAAAGAGCCTTAGTCTGAGAGCTAAGTCTTAATAACGACGGGCATTGGACTACGCCATTGATCTACACTTCTTACCTGCGACTACGACGCGTACCAGTCGATTACTGCTACCGTATTCTACTTGGTTATAGTAGCCAAAACCACTTAGCTACTTCGTTCAAATATATCCCTTTCCCGGGACATATCACTTTGTTATAAGAATAGTTAACAGGTCCAAAATGTTTACGAAACTAGAAGGTTAAGAAATTCCTTGAAAGAGCATAGTACAATAATCATAAGCAGAAAATATATATTTGTGAACTCGGATAAAATGCTTGTAATAATAATATTTATATATATATATATATATATATATATATATATATATATATATATATATATATATATGTGTGTGTGTGTGTGTGTATATATATATATATATATATATAAAAAAACAAAATCATTTTTTTTTTCTCTTAGCCTGGGCATCATTACGAGCGAGCATTTGGATCTTACGTGCTTGCCAGACTAATTTACCCGGTGGCCACAGATGGCGTTGTATTTAATAATTTAATATTCGTTTCTAACAATCGATGATCCGGTCGATATAAAAGAGTTGCATAATCAGTAGTTCGGAGGTGCATTATTAAATTTTTATTATACGACTACCGTTGATGCAATAAATCGGATAATCTGGTAATAATTCCGGTAAATCGGTTGTTAATAGCGTAGTTGTAAAATATCTTTAAAGACGGAAATTTGTAACTTTCTAATAGGCTATCATTTTTGACAATAGGTATGATCGCATTATTCTACTGGACACCAAATGCCTACATAATATAGTAGTTGGCAAAAATACTCCTGGTATGACGATAAACTGCATCTGGCAGCAATGTCTCCGATAGGGCGATTGTAGGTTTGGATGAATGCGGAAACAGCTTTTAGTTGCTGTTGATCTCTGGTCTGCTCTGACTCAGTGTAGTACACCTGTCAAGGTCCCCAGTTATGGGCAAATTGTGAATCTCTAAACAAAATCAAAACTATGGAAGTATAAAAGTATTTTTTATAGTAAAAATACCGGCAATACATTTTTATATACATAAATTACCAACAATCAACAAGAAAGAACTCTTTCAGGACATTAATCCATATAATATCCATACAAACTGTATTCGAAAATATAACTTCAGTTAAACAACTTAAAGCACACATATCACTGTATCTAGTAATAGCCATACAAACGTGTATATGCACGAAAGCTTATTATTATCTACCATGTATTCAACTGTGAAAGCAGAATAACATTTTTATTACTTTAAAGCGCCCATGAAAATTAAAAGTTTGGCATTAAATGACCCTTAAGGTGTTGATATACTGTTAAACAAACAAAAATAGCAAAAAATATAATTACTTACACGCGGACTATTGTATTCACAACGTTTCGGCCGTTATGCTGTCCTGCCTTCATCAGCAGCTTGTCGATCCGAGTAACCTGAATTTCGTACTGGAAATTTATTTAACCTACAGGTATAGGTTGATCGCATTCATCTGCCCATATCTAGGGACATCTTGTCTAGTTCTTGTTTTTAGTACGGCTCTGATATTGCTCGCTCCGTTTTTACAGGACATGGCGTTGGTTCGTGAATTCGGTGACAGTAATTGCGAGTTCAATCACTGGGTCGGGCAGCGAGGGCTTTGAACATGATAGGAATAACGTAAATGATGTTAACTCCTCAGAGAAATTCACATGGAAAAATGTTTTAAGGTTTGTGTCAAAATTCTAATAAAAACTATGAGATGAAAATATGGAGTCATATTTAGATAGTTGAAATTTCTACAAAACAATAAGAAGGCTTAGAAAATTTGACACTCACGGGGTATATTGAAAGCCAGAGGTGAAACAGAATAACCTACATAACGATCTTGGATAATTGAATGGCAGAGGAAGAAATTGGAGGGATAATAGATAAACATTACAAATATTTACAAAGATCGAATAATAGCGGCGATCTATGATTATCCACGTCCTAAAGGGACACGGTGCATTTTAAAAGTCATTTTTTTTTTGCCGGCAAGGATGAACTACTTACAACTAAAGAAATTCAAAGACGTATGAATCTTAACGTAGGAGCTTTAGGATAAGTAATTGTTTTCATTGATTTGTTTTTACGGTTTATCAACCCTTCGCAAATTATTTAAACCAATATTTTTTTTCTTTCAGATAATGATTTGGTGATATGAGTTTTAATAATTGTCTAGTTCTTATAGCAAAGAAAATGGCGAATTACCTCATCAAACCAAGCGAGATCGTGTCGCGTGTATCCTACGACGGAAAATGTGAAAAAAAAAAAAAAAAAAAAGAAGAAGGGCACAAATGAAAAAAATAATGATTGATTAATAAAAGCAGTTAGTGTTCTCGAATGGTGGATAAAAGACAAAATTCATGTATTTGGCTACGTCGGTGAGAGTGTTATTTTTCTGACTGGTTACGTGCATTGTGACGGATCAAGATTTCAACATTTCTTTTTGCACCTGATAGTCGAGTCCGAATGGCACATAACTGATCAATAGCAACAATAACATCTTTCATTTTGCTAAATTAAATAATGTAAAGCATTAGTTTTAATTTTCAGATACAGGCATATAGCGAAGAAAACGGCGAATTACCTCATCAAACCAAGAGACAGCGTGTCGCGTGTATCCTACGACGGAAAATGTGGCGAAAAAAAAAAAAGTTACTTGCTGATTTTTATTCAGGGTACGTATTCTGAATGATATGCTGAAGACGGAATATTTAAATTAGAAACAAATCAGTGGCAGAAGTCGCCATAAAAGTATTTTGATATGCTAATATGGCGCGGTGGAGTAATGGATAGCGGCTCGGAATTAGAGAACCGAGTTCGAATTCCACTCGAATCCATTACATTCACTTACGTGCTAATACCCTTGGGAAATGTATGAATCCTCTTCTCCCCACCAGCTATGGGTAAATAGCAGGACAGACCGGGTTCTATAGCCTTTCATGGTAACTGGTCTACCGCAGAAAGAAATGGCAACCTACTGAAAGAAAAAAGCTGCTTCGTCAGTCATGTAAAAATGCTCGGTCGATAAAAGTAATCGTTCTCGAATCGGAGAGAAAAGGGTAAAAAATTCGTGTATTTGGCTATTGCAGCCATTGTCGGTGAATGAGGTCCCCCCACCCCCGACTGGTTACGTGCATTGTGATTTGTGACATAGTACATGCAAATCAAGATTTTGACATTTCTGTCCCTGATGTTCCTTCTCTTTGTCGTGGAAGTAATCTGCGACAAATATTTTTCTTTGCAATCCAAGAACTCTTACAGACCCATAGCTGTGGGCGGAATGAAGAGGCAGATTCATAAGTTTCACAAAGATATTTGCGAGTAAACGAACCCAACTGGAATTGGAACTCGGCACTCCGATTAACAATTCCGAGTCGTTATTCATTACACCGTCCGCTTACAGCACCTGATATTCGCAAAACAGTTACCCACCTAGGTACTGACCAGTGTCGAGTTGCTTACCATCGGTGACTGTGCGGGAACCGATGATTCAACGTGATATGGGCATAAGCAATACCGCTCGCACATCCAGGCTTCGAGCATCTGGAATTCGCAAGCAGTCACCTATCTAGGTACTGACCAGTGTCGAGTTGCTTAACTTCGGTGGTTGTAGGCGAACCGGTGTTTTAACGTGATGTGACCGTAAGCCATACTGCCCACACATCCAAGCTTACAGCACCTGGTATTTCCAAGCGGTAACCCATCTACGTACTGACCAGGCTCGACATTGCTTACCTTCGGTCATCGTATGGGAACCGGTATTTCAATATGATACAGCCGTAAGCCTCTGACTATTAAGCAAGTAAAAAATCAGGAAAAATGAACAAAATCCGAAGTTGCGTACCTCATCTTAACAGTTAAGTTAACTTTCACCAGAAGGCGTTGTTCATATGTGTGATGCGGCATTCACCCTGGGTGGATCGAGCCGGCTTCTTCCTGTTATGAGAAGAAGATTCTTGGGATAAATTACAGAAGTAGGGTACCCAGGCCTACTCGGATAACGTTCTTGCTTGCCGCGGGGTTCCCACAGACGCAGAGACAGAACGACCAGAAGCCGCCGGTTGCCGATGCAGACGCTCCTTGGATTTTCACCAGAGCCCTTGTTAGCCGGCGTGTGTGTCAGACCTGTACGCCTTGGGTGGCCCTACCAGGAACGAAGTTCCGGGCGGCATAGCTCTGACACTACCGTTTACACCCCCCACCGACTGTGAGGTAAGGGTTGGACTTTGGGGACTTACAGTACCAGGTGTTCCCAAGCGGTCCCCCATCTAAGTACTGACCTAGCTCTACGATGCTTAACTTCCGTGATCGAACGAGAACCGGGGTTTTCAGCGTGATTTGACCGTTGTTCATATAAGCTACAATAAAGGTTCCTTGAGTTGCGATAAAAATCAATGAAAGTTTAATCAATGAAAAGTTAGCCAAAAATGAATAAAACGCTAAGTTGATCTTTCTCGGAAGTATCCCCTTTTCGATTGGTAATGAAAGTCACAAGAGGGTCACGCAAATTATTGTTAAGGGTTCGACCTGCGGTGAATGCTATAGAAATGTGACCTTGCTTAAGATTACTACAGAGTGTACATATTAATTAGACATTTCTCAGGTGCAGATGACTTATTTGCTGTTTCATTAACATAGGGTGGATTATTTTGCTAATTTTGATTTCAAAAACGCCTACGAGAGCGACAGAAAACAAACGGAAAATGAAATATGACGAATCTATTACCTTGCTGCTGATCGGGCAATGATAAACCATACTTTCTTGATGGTAGTGTTAGATCAAACATTTATGTCATTTTTTTTTTTTGTCCTTTAACCCCTACTACCCCCGTTAAAACCCGCCACCTCTATCAAAAAAAACGATTTCTATTAAATACCACTTGGATCCAAAACTTCCAGTCCCCCCCCCCACAAACAATTCAAATTTTTTTTATATTTTTTTTTATGATATTAGGTATGGATAATTAGAGATGAAAAAAGAACTAACGATGTTAATCAAAATTTATTCACTGAAACAGAAAAAATACAAGACATTTTTGCAATTAGTTTGAAATTATAAGCTTAATTATTTTTATTTTAATTTTTTTAGATTTATATGTTGGCGTACAAGGTGACCTTTTAATCATAAAAAATCCCCTTCAAAATAGGGGACCGTGTTATACTCAAGTATAAAATATGGATCTTAAAATCTTGTAGTTTATGGTAAGTTGTTAGCTTGGGAGATTTTTGACGATAGGTTAAACCCCTTCCTACATTCCTTTTTTTTTTTTTTTTTTTTTTTTCGATGATATTGTACAAAAATTAGGTGTGGATAATTAGAAATAAACAAAGAAATAACAATTTTTAAATCAAAATTTATTCACTGAAACAAAAGTTACAAGACATCCTTGCATTTAGTTTGAAATGAAAAGCATAATTCAAATTAGATTTTTTTAAATTACAATTCATTGCTGCATTTTGCACAGGATACTTTCAAATGGCTTTGACAGACATGTTTTAGGCAAATATGGCAGATTGTTTGCATTTTTCTAGGCATTTTAGGACCACACAAGGTACATCTTTTCTCTCTTTCTCTCTCTCTCTCTTCTCTCTCTCTCTCTCTCTCTTATTTGATAGTTCCTGTGTATTTTATGAAAACCTGCAAGACACGAGCTTCATGAAAAATATCAATGAAAGCTGAAATCACAAGATCTTCTTGCAAAACGTAAAAGGTCCAGGCTTTTGATGTAAAACATTGTCGGATGCGGTTCTTCGTTGTGCCCTTTCACTTGATTTAGTAGACCAAATTTCAGATTTATCCTTTGAATAATACTTTTCATTTATCATTGAAGGATTTGAAGAATCATTTCTTTCAGCTTTGTTGTCATCATTTATATCATTATCCGATTCTGAATAAGGCTGACATTATCACTTTCATTATCATCTTCAGAAAAAGAAATGGCGCCTATTTAGAATGGACGATTTTTAAAAAATATTTTTTTATTTAATTAAAAATTTCAACCAGGAGTCCAATTGACCCACTTGGTAATGAAAGTGTTGTAGGATACCTACGGACGATAATGGGTATGTCCCTATTCATAGTAAATACTGTATGTTGGTCTTCTGTTGGAGATTCGTCTCCAGCTGTGATGGTCAAACTGCCTCCGAGCAGAGACGATCCACAGACGAGGTTATGCCGAAGGGCAGAGTCTCGTCTCAGGAAAAAAAAAAATACCCGACCCCATTTTATACGGGGTCTACGGGGAATTTTTGGCCGAGCCTACGGGCTCGGATACCTCACATTAAATTCAGCCTTGTGCCACATCTGACCGCGTGGGGTGGTTGGTAGATATCCTGCAGTTGGAGATACATTGCGGAATCCACTTGACTCACTTCTAGCAGTTGACTAATTCTTCTACGCGCTGCTGGCGAATCTTATACGCGTTGTACATGTATTATCGTTCGTTACCAACCTTTGTGTGATTATTCTATTCAGTAATCTTCCCTAGGTTACAACAAAAATTCAGCCACCAAAATTTATTTTTTGTTCCAAATTTGTTTCCTTTACGTAGATGTCAGAAAATGAAGAAAAATGAAAGCGACAAAAAATTTGGATAGAATAACTATAAGTGAAAAAAAAAAAGTGAAAAAATTAGTTTTGAAAAAAATTAAAAAATTATGGGTCCATTGGACCCACTGGTAAACTGAGGTTTAAAGGTAGTCTCCATCTGAAAATTCAACTGAATAAACCCAACAACAGATCTTCAATAAATATCGATTTATTGATTAGGTATTTTACGATTTTTCGACATTTTGGAGGTTATTTCAAACGAGAAAATAATTTTAGAATGTAAGTTTCTTTTGGAGATAATGATTTTATGATACAAGGTCTGCTAATTAACCCATAGGGGGGGATAAGAGGTGAATTAATTTATGCATAAGTGAATCTAACAAACCCGACTGAAATTGAAACTTCTCCCCAGCTTCTAAATTCGAGACGTTATTCATTACACCACCCGCACATCCAAGGTCAGTATCCCAAGTGGTCACCCATCTTAGGCACTGACCAAGCTCAATGTTTAACTTTGGTGATTGCACAAGAACTGGTATTTCATTGTGATATTGTCATAAGGCCATGAAATCAATGAATTCACTCATAAGCATTTGGTTTGGTTTCATCAGTTAGGTTTGTATTTTCATGATATAAATCAATTTGATTATTAAATCAATAATAACCCCCTTTTTTAATTAATCCCAGACAATTTACAAGACAAATTTGTACAATTTTTGAATAATTCAATAACCAAAGATCTTTGTGAAATATCCGATTACCTAACCAAATTTAAAATCAGAAGCTCCATTATGAACATTACAAAGTGTTTGGAAGTGAATATGAGGACAGTGTAGAGGATTCAGAAAGAGTTGGAGGAGTCTAATGGTGATTACCAAAGTACGGCAGTTTGGAAAACTCACTCTGATCATTCTTAGAAAAGAACTCCCAAATTTGTTGGCGAGAGCCTCAGACTCAATTACATCAAGTGTTTTGAGGAAGTAATGTTGCCCTGGGTCAAGAGGGTGGCTGCTGGAAGACCCTATGTCTGGCAACAGGACTATGCACCATGCCACACAAGCAGGAGAACCAAGTTATGGCTATCAGACAATTTCTGCGACCATATCACCTGTTACATCTGGCCACCTAACTCTCCATACTGCAACCCCTTTGATTATTATGTGTGGGGCACAGTTGAGCGAGAGACCAACAAAACACCAAAGATGAACTGAAGGCAAGCATTATGGCAGCATTCACCAACTTAAACAAGGAAACTATTCAGAAGATAATTGATTTTGACAAGATTTTGTTTAGAAAAGTGAAAGCCTTACATAACTAGAGGAAGAAATCACAAAAATCTCCTGAGCCGACCAAGCATAGAAATGAATACAATATGGGAACCAGTAATAAGGAGTGCCAGAGAAAAGCGATAACATAAATTGCAATATGAGCTCTGGTAAAAAAATGGTTGCTGAAGACATTAGGTTTATAATACCCAGAAATTTATACATAGATGTCCTCAAGGACACATGGCACAATGGATAAAGGCATTAGTTAGATCCAGTGACAGGGCCCAAAGAGTGTGAGTTCAATAGCCGGTTAAGGCAGTGGAGAACATGGAGAGGGGAATTAACAGGAGATAACTGACACCCATTAAACATGACACGTGGAACTGGAATAGTCTACCGCAGTGAGCGAAATAAAGGGTTCAGTTCGAAATTCCAACCACCTGAAGAAGGCCGAAACGTTGTAATAAATATGGCGACAAAGATGAGGACAATATCTCAAAAATCTAGACAGATACAGAAATATAGAAGTTCTGAAGCCTTTGGATTCATTAGGTCATCAGTTTTCATGATATAAATCAATAATCTCTTAAATAAATCTCAGACAATTTACAAGATAAATTTGTATAAGTCAAGGATATATATATATATTTTTTAAGCATTACGCCCCGAGCAAGGCGTGAAGCCACTAGGATGCAGGGGGTTGCAGAAGATTTGGAGCAGAGCAAATAGGAGTGATAGAAGAAAGGATGAGGAGAAGGATAGTGGGTAGATCAAGGTAACTGGAGATGTCGATTGACATTACATTTGAATAGTTGAAAATTATAGCTCTCAGGAAAACAGTAATAGGGAAGGGTGTTTCACAGGCGAGAGGTGCGAGACATGAAGCTATTGGAGTAGAAGAGACGGCTACATTTAGTAGTTTCGACAGTGAAAGGGTGAGAGCGGAATGCCAGCCTCGTAGGGC